CTTGAATTCAAAAACATGCCTCTAGAAGAATCAATCATCAAAAACATCCACAGAAGGGAAGCAACAACAAACAATCACCAAAGTTCCTAATAACTTGAAGAAAAACAGAATGCCATCCAAACATGGACACAAAACATTTTTACACCATTTTGCAATTTGAAATTAATTAAAAATCAAATAAAAAGGCAAATAAATCACATAATAAAAGATGGAAAATAGTTAAAACACAAATAAAAATCTAAGAAAATCACCGTAGGTCAGAAACCATCATAGGATCATGTACCAATTTTCTCACAATTTTAAAATGGCAAAAACAATTTTAAACTAATTAAAATCAAGCAAATAATCTAAAAAAACATGAAAAATAGCAAAACCAGAAATAAAAACCAAAGAAAATCACCATAGGTCAGAAACCATCATAAGATCATATAATATTTTTCTCATAATTTTAAAATGCTTAGAAACAATTTTAAACTAATTAAAATTAACTCAAACAAATTAAAATTCAAGAAAAATAACAAACTAAAAAACACTCAGTAACATGGACTTGATTTCATTGAAATTTTCTCTCTAGTTGCCAAACTGACATCAATAAGAGTAATTCTTAGTCTGACAGCTGCTCAAAATTGGAAACTAGCTCAATTGAACATCAATAATGTCTTCTTAAATGGTGACCTATTTGAGGAAATCTACATGGATTTGCCACATGGCTATCCAAGTGAGGGGAATAACATGGTATGCAAACTGCACAAATCCTTATATGGATTAAGGCATACCTCTAGACAATGGTACCATAAGTTTTCCACAACAATTATGAAACATGGATTCTAACAAGCATATGCTAATCACTCATTATTCACAAAAAGGAACATGTGCATCTTTGATAGCTCTCTTGGTATATGTTGATGACATGGCGCTTTATATCCCAAGCTCCAAATTAATCCAAGAGACTCAGACACTTCTCCAAAGCATGTTCTAACTGAAACTCCTTGGAGACCTCAAATATTTCCTTGGCTTAGAGATTGCAAGGTTCAGTAGAGAAATTCATTTGTGCCAGAGGAAATACACCTTGCAGCTTCTTATTGACACATGTTTCACCAATGCCAAGCCAGATTCTTATTGACACAGGTTTCACCAATGCCAAGCCAGATTCTCTGCCTATGGATCCTAGTAACATTTACAATGATGAAAAAGGACCGTTGCTTGAAGATGTGTCTCAATATAGAAGAACAATTAGTAGATTGTTGTATCTTACCATTTCCAGACCTGACATCTCATTTGCAGTCAATAAGCTAAGTCAGTACATGGCTAAACCTCGATAGTCACACTTGAATGAGATCCATCATCTGCTGTAATACCTGAAAGGCACTTCAGGGCAAGGAATCTTATTCTTTACAAATCAACCTCTGCCTGTCTCAGCCTATTTAGATGCAGATTAGGGAAGCTGCATCACTACTAGAAAGTCAACCATAAGTTTTTGCATCTTCATTGGTGAATTCTTAGTGGCTTGGAGATCTAAGAAACAAACAACCATATCAAGATCATCTGCTGAAGTAGAATATAGAGCTTTGGCCTCCACCGCAGTTGAACTCTTGTGGTTAAAATAATTACTAAGAGCTTTTAATATCAATGTTTCCATTTACAAAGTCTTCTATGACAGCACACCTGCCATTCAAATGACAAGCAACCCCATCAGCCATAAAAGAGGAAAAAACATTGACATTGACTGTCATTTCATTCGTAAACACGTATCTACAAATTTCATCAAATTAATTCATATTCTATCCAAATATCAACTTGCGGATCCCCTCACTAAAACCCTTCCCAGTTAACATCAAGTTGGAGATATGCAATATATACCTTTCAACTTCAGCGAGAATATTATGATATACCTATTATTATAATAGATAGTTAGATTAGTTTATTGAAATAATTAACTAACCATAAGTTAATTATAGTGTGTAACTACTTCTACTACTTTATTGTCTTGCTATATAAGTAAACTACCTCATTATAATATGGTTAACGCATTAATGAATCTTCCATCTTCATATTATATTCAAAAACTTTAAAAACTATTTATTATATATTGATTAAAAAAGGATCTATTTATCATTTTGATGTAACGAGGATCATGAGAGATTGATACATTGATGGTAGATTCTATTTTTAAAAACAAATCCGTTTAAAAGAGGTATATATCAATATAATTTGGAATGAAATCAACAAAAATAAAAATAAAAATTAATCAAGATTTTCAAATAGGTTAATAAACTTAACTCAAGTAACTTCCCTAAAATGAATATAAAGATTCCATGAATTAAATTTGTAATAAAAGATTAATTAACATGTTGTGGTTAGTTGAACATTTAATAAAATCCAACTAAATTCATAAAAATAAAAAAAATAAAAAACAAAATCCACCGTCCAAAAAAAATCAAAAAGTAATTTAAAACAAAAAGTAATTTAAAACAAAATCAACACAAAAAAGATTATAACCAAAAGTAATAATAAAAATAAAAAATAATGAATATTAAGCGAGAATCATGTTAAATATGGAACGTGAATCAAATGAACATATAAATAGCTAAAGCCTCTTGTTATTTTCTTCTCTTTCTTTTTCTTTCTCTCATTCATTCAATTTTCAAGGTCTCAATTTCTTTCCATTTTACGTCTTTTTTTTTTTTTTTTTGCGTTTTCCTTCCATTTTCATTAGTTATTTCTTCGTTTTTGTTTCAGCTTCTTTAATGCGGTTTCTGCAGCGTTGAAAGAAGGAATCAAAGGTAGCTGATAACTCAGGTGTGATTCATTTTCTATCTTTTGTTATTGTGTATTTGCGTGATTCAATGTGATAATCAAGAAAATGTGAAATTAGTTGTGCGTAAAAATAATAATTCTATGCACAATCTTTTTTTTTTCTTTCAATGTTCATACATGTGTTTTTGATATAGAGCATGAAAAAAATCAATCTTTTTGATGAATTTACCAGAAATGGTTGCTAAATCTTGGTTTTTTTGGTACTGAATGACATTTTATACACTGCCAGATTTTTTTTATTGAAAATGTTTAGTTTTTAAATTTTATAGACAATTAGACAATGATTTCATCACTCATTTGTTAAGTAAAGTTGCAGGGTGGAGATCTAAGCTGTTACCGTAGGGTTTTTTCGATGTTATTGAAGTTAGTGCGGCCGCAACTGTATTATAAAATTCGGTGATGATACTGTGATTTAAAATTTTGCTTTTAATTTACTTTTAATGTGTGAATTAAGGGAAAGCATGATGTGTATGATTTTGTTGTTTATAGTACTTTATATGATGTTGAATTTTAGTGTCTGCATAGGGAGAAAAAGCACTAGATAATTAATGGTGGTGGGTCTTCATGCCAAATTTAGGTTAAAAGTTTTCTATTGGTTATTACTTTATGTCAACATTGACCTTAAAACAAAGAGAGATTGCTGCCAACCATGTACCATCTTCTAAAAGTGACTTTTGATGGCAACCTTACACATGATTTCCATAATCTCTTTTTGTTTTTGACTCTGTTAAGTCTCTTTGTTTTTTTGTGGCGGAGAGTAATTGAGTTGGGTTTATGCATTTAATTTATGCTCATGTTGCTGTTGTTGTGTCAAGCCAAAGAAAGAAGTTTTTTATTGTTGTGAATTTATTAGTTTATACATGAATGTGAAGAATCGTGGGTTGGATCTAAAACTCATACTATGCAATACTTTTGCATCCGCAGTTACGAATCTCGATCGTTGGATCGTTTGTATTTTAAAGTTCATTTAGTAAGGATAGAATACAGGCTGTCAGATCTTTATTTAATGGTTGAAAGCTCTTGGCTGCACAATTTTCCTAATTATAGAAAAACCTGTGTTTTATAGAACCTGTGTTTTTAACTCAACACTTGCATTATTTTATTTCTGTTTCATTACTTTATCATAGGTTATACTATAAACAATCAAATCATTAATATATTTTCTCATTTTGGGTATTTGCTCTTATCTTATGCAATGGTGAATACATTAAAATGTTCTTTTGCATTTTGTTGATAAGCTCAAATAATTGACAGTGTTACTAGGTGAAAGTATTTTATTCATTCGGGGTTATTTAAATTAGATCTTCTGAAACAGTACTAAATGATCAATTGCATATCTTTTGGAGAAATTTTGATTCATTACTTTAGGAAAATCACGAATTCACAGAGTAAATAAGTCGGAAACTTGGAATGAATATCAAATGGATTGTATTTTTAATTACTCAATCGAAATACGGGTTGTTTGATCTTCATCCAAATATTTGTCTCAACAACTTGAATGCACACTCCAGGAAATTTGTATCTGTCTTCCTTGCAAGTCATTTGATCTATGCTAGTTTTGTTATGAATTCTATTTATATTTTTTCATGAGTTTTGTTCCTTCTTATATATTTAATTATTATTTATTCCACCCAGTAAAAAATGGCTTAGAATTTTCAACATTGCAGAAAAACATGTTCATAATCAGCATTTCTTTATTGCTTTGAAAATCTAAAATTAAATGAAAGTTTTTTTTGTACCTATATGCTTGCAATGGCTTGTATGTTTTTATTGATTCCCTGCTTACTTTTATTGTTTGTTAATGCTGATGTTGCAGGTGCTGTAATTATTACAATAAATTACAACAAACTCAGAAGAATTAGACCATTAATATTATCCATTGGTACAAAATGCAATGCAATATATAAATAGGTATTGGTTAAATTTGGTTTTTGTTGGTTGCATATTTATTTGACTTTCATAACAAAAATCAATTTTCTTTCTCTGTTAAGTTTCAGGGAAACTTGCGCTTGATGGACTGCACACACAATAGTAGTGACAATAAAACATTAAAGCGTTGGTTTTTCATTGACAAAAGAGTTGGTTAAGCCAAAGATTCGACACAAATCAGTTCGAACACAATCTTTTTTATACTTTTGTTCATACATAGTTACATACCCCTTTAAGTAGTTTAATTAGGTGAAATGGATTTGAAGCCTTCTCATGCTTCTCCAATTCTTAATGATCCTGTTCCTGCCAACAAGTCAAGGCTTGGAATCCAATCTAGTTTGTTAGCTTGTTCGCAGCAAGATCCACCACTCTCTCCAGGGAAGTACTCAAAATCCAATTCAAAGAAAAACATGGGAAGTCTTGATGATGTTAGATCTAACGGTATGTTGGATGCTATGAAAGCATCTTCTCCTCCGAGGAAAAAGTCGATACATTTGAGTGCTCAAGTTGCTCCATTTGACCACGACATTGAAGATTATAATTTATGGATGGTATAATTCATTGTCTGCCTATAGTTCTATGTTATATTTCAATTAATTTCTGTCTATAATTCTACAGCTTGTCATAATTAACGTATGATTCATTTTTCCAGCAAGGATATCCTTCCGCACTAGAAGCTTTTGAGAAAATCGTCGACTGTGCAAAGGATAAGAAGATTGCAATGTTTCTTGATTATGATGGCACACTTTCACCTATAGTAGAGGATCCAGATTGTGCTTTCATGTCTGAACCTGTAAGTAATGCATTACTATAATTCCTTTGTTCTTTAATTTTGAGTGTACATTACTTTACTCTCTCAAAATAATGTTTAGATGCGAAAAACTGTGAGAAGAGTGGCAAAATATTTCCCTACCGCGATCATTAGTGGAAGAAGTCGTGACAAGGTATTTGGAAGTTGTTCAATCTGGTTTAGTACTGATTTTTAATATTTTGTTTATCAGATTTATTAAGTGTAGAAGGTTTGGCTACTGCATTTTCAGGTTTTTGATTTAGTTAAACTAACAGAACTCTACTATGCCGGTAGTCATGGGATGGACATTATTGGCCCTGTTAGTGACACTCTGTCCATAAACCATCCAAATTGTGTTAAGTCTACTGACCATCAGGTAAATGTTGAAATTATATGAGGATTATTAAGAATCCGTATAAGATTTATGTCGGAAAATGATACATTTCCATTTTTTAGAATGTGGTCTTCGTAGGTTAAGTTTCATTGAATTCAAAAGTTGACATGGTTTTTGTATTTGATTGTGACAGGGAAAGGAGATAACTCTCTTTCAGCCGGCAAGAGAATTCCTTCCTATGATCGATGAGGTGAAAATTCTATCTCCAAACTAATAATTGATGACTTATATTCATTTTTTCACGAGCGTAAAAGAAATTAATGATGAGATGTTTTCATGCAGGTTTTTAAAACCCTCATTGAGATTACTAAAGATATAGAAGGCGCAAAAGTTGAAAATCACAAGTTTTGCGCTTCTGTACATTACCGTAATGTAGAAGAGAATGTAAGGATTATCAATTACCCCAACCATGATGACTTGATTATTGATCTCTTATAATTTTAAATCTCATTTGATGTTTTGATTACTTACCCTATTTTGAATCGATTGTAGAATTGGACAATGATCGGTCAACGTGTCCATGATATGTTAAAAAATTATCCTCGTTTACGATCAACTCATGGACGGAAGGTATAATATTCCTACGTGCAATTTTTTTAACAATACATATAAAATCTGTTCTATTCATAATTTTTGAACTTTTCAATTTTTAGTAACTTGTTACTCAAGTCTGTTCGTGCTCTCATAGCGAACTTCAACTTGTTACCTATGCTGTGATAGGTTTTAGAAATCCGTCCTGTAATTGACTGGAACAAAGGAAAAGCTGTTGAATTTTTACTTGAATCACTAGGTAAGAAGAACCACTCTTTTCCTCTCAATATGCATTATATTTATATACCTTGCATTACAAGGTGTTTAATGATATATTATAATGTAAAAAACTGTTATGTGCAGGGTTAACTGATAGAAATGATGTACTTCCCATATATATTGGGGATGATAAAACTGACGAAGATGCATTTAAGGTACTGATTTAACTAGTTTAAATTAACATTTTTCTATTTTTTTTCTTTAATCAACAAACAGGTTATTATTCTGTAATAATAATTCTTTTATGTATTTAGGCTCTGAGGGAGAACAATCTAGGTTATGGGATATTGGTTTCATCAGTGGGAAAAGAAAGCAATGCTTTTTACTCTCTCCGAGACACCAATGAGGTATAAATTCCAACACTATTTTCATGTCTTCTTCTAATTATAATAATTGTCTCGTGGTTCTTCTAAGAATGAACTAAGAAAAAATTATAATTGCATCCATGCAGGTTATGAAATTTCTCCAACTCTTGGTGAATTGGAAGAGGGAGCAAGAAAGTAAGCATGGGAAGGAATAAGCCTTATGTAATTGCTATATATTATGCACATTGGATTTTTTGCAATTGATTATTTCCTTCGGTTTCATTTATTCTAATAAGTTTTTCAACAGCTTTCTAATAAAGTTATCATAAATGAAAGGAATTGGATTCTAGTATATCATGATAGTGTTAGTATTGAATGTTTGACTTAGAGGTATTGAACAAGTTAAAATGTAAGATTGATGTTTAGTTAAGTGTTTCAACAATAGAGTTAGTTTGATAATCCAATGACCAAATCGTCTATTGAAATGCAAATGCATTGAATTAAGAAAGAATAAATAAGTTTTTTTTTGAAATGGTGTTTTAATGCCAAAGAGGAATGAGCATAACTCTGAGATATTGACACTTTATTGTACTATGTAATGTGATCTATCATTTCTCACTTCTCAGTTTCAGACCTATGAAGCGGCATCAAAACAAACAATCAACTTTAAAATAAAACTAAAATCTTATATAGTCACAATACTTCTCAACTTAATAGAGACTCCATTGCCGGTATTCTCAGTGTTTAGGTTGTCCTTGGCACTAGAGAAAAGTATCTGAGAATTCCCTCTATTATTGGTGGGAGTAAGAAAACCATATTCGATTTAATTAAAGACATAGCATGAATGAAGATTAATTTATGGAGTATCAAATCATTATTAAAGCAGGAAGAAAAGATTTTTTACTTGCTAAAAGTACAATAAATGACAACTCCTTGAGTAGTATGGTATAGAAATATTTATAAGAATCTTATTGCCTGAGTCTGGGATAAATTTTGCACTCCTCATTCCATGAGAGTGAAAAGAGAGTAGTTATTCCCCTTATTTATTTGAGAAATGTGCTGCCTCTATTTGACTCGTTATCCCGTATTGTAACGAAATGGAACATGTTACCTCCACATTATCACATGAAGGCGAGTGATATGAGAAATGAAACAGACAACTAAGAAGCTGGTGTGGATGACATGTTACGTCGTCCATCTTAATAAATTTTTTATGCCGTGCCTTGTGAATCCTTCACGAATATACCAATACAAATTTCATAAAATCAATAATTCTATCTATCCCTAGATACTTCATGAGCATATTACCTAGATACTTCATGAGCATATTACTTCTACCTTTTATATTAATTGCTGAAATTGAAAAAGATGATGAATTCATTTTGGCGGAGCACTTTAGATGCTCACATAAAATGGTTATATTAGAGGTCCTGAGACAAAGTAGCGATGCATAAGAATGATAGAGGTATGGGTTTTAAAATTGATAATGCTTTCAATCTTTTCTTGATTGGTAAACAAGAATAGTAAATCCTCAAAGATCAGTGAAACCTCATTTTGAAGTGGTTAGTATATTTCATAACACATCACTCTTTGAAATGGTTATAGTCAACATATAAGTTTGGAGTTCAAAGCCTATGGGAGAGTACTCGCGTGGTAAGGAATTATCCAATCACTTTAGAAAATCAAGAAAATAATGTGGCAGATTTGTTGAAGTTGTTTTCCGACTCATTACAGGTTACATGAGTAAGGGGTCAATTGCCCCACAAATTATGCTTTATGCGATGATGGTATAAAAAACTGTATGCATAAATACGTGGCATATCGCGGATTTGAACTTACATTCTATGTATTTATTATCATTGCGTAACTATTAACTGAATTGATTTAACGAAATTGTTTTTTTAGTATTTTATTGTTCACGTATTATACAAAACAATAAGGTCCCTAATGACAAGCATGCTTTTTTTAAAGTTAAATTCATAAAGTTAATGGTAGTGTATTATTTGGTGAAAAAAATATTTCATATACAATTGGTTAAAATATTTTAAACTTTTAAATCATGACAGTAATTTAAAAATAAAATTGTAATGTGACTTCATACATTTCTTTGATGGATAAAATTAAAAAGTATTCTATAATCTCACTTTATATTCCTTTTTCTCCAAATCCATTTTTTTATCCTCTTGTTTTGTGTGACAGCTTGACACGCCCTTGTCTTTCAACTTGAGAAAAAATGAACTAAAATAGGACAAAGACAAAGTGACCGGCGGATATCACAAGATGATAGAAAAGGACGTGTAACTAAAATGTACTTTTAGAAATATCGAAAAATTCATTTCTTTGATGTGATTGTAAAGCATCTACTACTAAAAAATTAGGTGGAGAAGTATGGAATAAAGGACTTAATTGCATTTATTTTTCTTCCATTATTCAGAAACCATTCAATTCAATTATATCAAATTTTTAACAATAGTTTACCCTAACATTGGAATGGATATTGGTCTTGTATTAAGTTTAGAAATCCCTAGAACGTTTGTAATCTTTTTCGTTGGTGAGGTTTTATTTATAAAGAAAACTCAAATTTATCGAGAGGCATGACAAAAATTTAGAGCACAAATTCAATATATTTATTAGCAATGTTAAATAAAAAGTTCATCATAAACTTGAACATCATCACTATTAATAGAAAATAGAGGTTCAACTTCTTTTACATTGATAAAATTCAGTTAAGACTTTATATATAAGTTATGAGTGATCGCCATAATCGATTAACTAATTTTTAGATGGTTGTTATTTCCATGATAAATAATTAACCATAATTAAATTATAACTTACTATAAAACTAGTAATTAGTTGTTAACTTCTTCTTTATCATTTGGTAATAGACTCCCATAAGTTGGACTTTGATCAAGTTCAACTTGAACATAAAAAAGGAGAATGGTTTATGCAATATTTGGTGAAGAAATTGATAATTCAAATGTGGAAAGAAACTGGAAGCAACTTTCACTCCATTTTTAATTTTTCTATAATAATATGACCATCTATTTCCAGATGTTTGATCCTTTTATGGAAGACTCAATTGTCACAATACAAAATCAGAGGTTTGATGTAGGTAACTTGCAAATCACGCAACAAGTGCATTGTCTATTGAAGTTCACATGTGGTTGCGGTTAAAACTCTGTATTCAGCTTCAGAGGATGAACGAGATCAAATGCTTTGTTTTTTGGTTTTCCACGAGATAAAACATGGCCAATGAAAAAACAAGATTCTGAAATTGACCTTATAGTATCAACATATCCATCACAATCAGCATCTAAAAAAACAAGAAACTAAATTGATGAATAACTTGGAAAAAACAGACTACGAGTTGAACAATGTTTGTGATATTGTAGAACTTTGCAAATATCATTGTAATGAATCACTGAAGGCGTGACCATGTACTGACTCAGTCGTTGAGTAATATATTTGATGTCTAGTCTTGTGGTATTGAGATAGATCAATTTGCCAATGAGTCTTTGATATGATGGAATACCTTCACAAGGAGAAGTGTCATCATTGCATGATTTGATAGATGGATCAAATGGAGTAGATATAGGCTTTGAACCAAGCAAACCTGAATTAGTTAAGAGGTCAATGTCGTATTTCTTCTTATATAATGAAATGTCTTGTTTAGAGTGTGCCACCTCTAAAGCTAAAAGATATTTAAGGATGCCAGGATCCTTGATGCAAAACATCCTCCACCCATTAAAAGTATGGTAAATAATTACCTGTCAAAATCACATCATCAACATAAACACGCAAGATTACGAAGGTGTTACACTGGATTTTTTGACTTAATTATAAATTACAAGTATTTAATGAGACCGGCCATGAATGTGTCACGTGAGAAATAAAACACCATGGGTCAAACTTGATCATAATGACTCAAGGTCGGGAATCAGGTAAGGGGATAACGGTCGAAGGTGACGTAGTCGAAGGGCACGTCGAGAAGCACAAAGACTTAGTGAAATTGAATACTATGTCATGTTGGCTAAGGTTGGAGTTCATCACTACAATTGAATACTATGCCATGTTGACTAAGGTTGGAATTTATCATTACAATGAAAGTAATGACAACTCAGTCACCACATGTGGAGTACATCACTATAATGGACAATATGACGAAACATGTTACATTAACGTGGTCGACTTCGAAGGCTTCGAAGAATATGTTCAGATCTTGGCGCCAATAAAATATTTTAGAAGTTCAAATAATACCATAAGGCGGGAACTACTATATCAACGTCGACGGTTACATGGAGAATGTGGGGGAACGTCAGGGAGAACTGCTACACGATCTGAAAGTGTGTCACCACAGGAGTAACTTATCATGCTTAGGAAGTTATCTTAGTATAATATATATATAGATACTTAGGTTCATTTTATAAGAGGCCTGCAAATTGTACACGTTTTTAAAACACTCAAAGTACATGCGTTGTGAGAAACGAGTGAAAGGAAGATGTACGGTGTTCCATTGTTTTATACAAGTTCAACAATTTTATCTTACATCTTTATTTTATGCATTTAAGCTTTTTCGACTCCTCTACTTTTCATGCAACTTTATGTTTTCTTGCACGTTAATTTCAAGTCTCTCTTTTAACTTTAAGTTTTCTTTTACTTTGTATCATTCTTTTCAAGAGATCACAAACTTTTTCATATACTTGCCCGTGTTTATGTTAACTTCGACAAGCCCTAGAATTTTCACAAGTAACGCACACACAAACATGTTCGGGAGACTTTCGAGTTTGATCCCTTAAGTATTAATATAAACTTGTATCTGTTTATCAAATTTCACAGTAAAAAAATTGGCACACCTGGTGGGACCGATTTGTGTTTTTTTAGATATTCGTGTTTTAAAATCCATACTTTTCCTTGCAAGTGTTTTCTTCAACTTTTTATCTTGTGCGCGAGTGCATGAGATTAAGGTGTGGTAAAATAATAAAGAGAAAAGTGAGAAGACCTGCTAAAAGATCAGTTAGAAGAATGGTGAATCCTAGGAATAATAATAGAGATCAACCTTCTAATAGCGCTGGGACAAAGATTGTTACTGCAATGGTTACTGAACCCATGCCTTCAACTGCTAGTGCAACGGCGATGCCATCCATGATGATAACATCAATGGTCTTGCCTGAGGGGACAGTCTTATCCCCAATTCCACAGAGTAATACAGTGACTC